GTCATACACACAGAAAGACATAACCAGAGAGAAAGAGAGAGAGGGACAGAGGGAACGAGGGAGGGAGGGAGGGACGGCGAGAGGGAGGGAGGGAAGGAGGGAGAGAGGGAGGGAGGGAAGGAGGTTGGTCGTGTGGGTTTGCGTGGGGAGGGCAACGTTTCGAGCTCCTGGGCAAGAGGCTTGTCTGCGAAGCTGAGCCAGGCGTGGTTTCCCGCCGCGACAGCTGCAGCCAGCAGCGACGGAGGGATGGATGGATGGAGGGAGGGAGCGAGGGAACGATGGGACGAGGGAGGGGATGGGTTTGAGGGAGGGTGGGGAGGGGATCTGGGGGGAAGGGAGGGAGGCAAGGGGGGAAGGGAGGGAGAGAGGCAGGGAGGGAGGCAGGGAGGGAGGGAGGGAGCGGATGGGAGGGAGGGAGGGAGCGGGGCAGGGGCTGGGAGCGGCCTGTCGTCTGCGGCGGCCGAGCCGCCGCCGCGGCTGGCGGCCGGGAGCCGTGGGGCCGCAGCGGCGGCGCGCCGCGGGGGAGGCCCGCGGAGGGGGGCCTTCGTCCTCCTCGCTGCTTCGCTCCCTCGTTCCGTCCCTCTCTCGTTCCCTCCCTCCCTCCCTCCCTTCCTCCCGTGTTTTTCTTTCCCCTCGCCCATCGTTCCCCCCCCATCCGCGTTCCCTCACCTCCTTCTGCCCTCAAAAAAATCCTCTCTCTCTCTCCTCACCCCTCTCCCATCCTCCCTCGTTTTCCCTTCCTTTCTTTCTCCCCCCCGTTCCCTCCCTCGTTCCTCCATCCTTCCACCCTCCACCTCCACCCTCCATCCTCCCAACCCAGGGAGGACGAAACACAGGCGAAATGGAGGGTTGTGCGCGGCCCATAGGGGTGGGGGGGGGGGGGGGCGGAGTCAGAGGCGGGGGCGGTGCTCCGCGGGGGAGGCAGCCAGGGAGGCCCAGGTGGGAGGACAAACGCCAACGGAAATGATGATGATGATGATGATGATGATGATGATGATGATGATGATGATGATGATGATGATGATGATGATGATGATGATGATGATGATGATGATGGTGGTGGTGGTGGTGGTGGTGGTGATTATGATGATGAGAGGAGGAGGAGGAGGAGGAGGAGGAGGAGGAGGAGGAGGAGGAGGAGGAGGAGGAGGAGGAGGAGGAGGAGGAGGAGGAGGAGGAACAGGAGGCAGGAGGAGGAGAGGGGAGGGAGGAAGGAGGAGGAGGAGGTTCCGCAAGCCCCGGGATTCCATTCCCTTTTCCGTATACAGTTACTCAATGTGAATACCTACTCTCCCTCTTCCCCTGATGGCGTGCTGGGAGTAGTAGAACCCCCCCCCCGCGTATTGTTTTTTACACACAAAGGATTCCCGGGAGTTGGTTTTTTCGCCTGCGTTTTTTTTTTTTTTTTTTTTTTTTTCAAAATGCTGCTCTCGCTGAGGCGCCGGCCTCATTTCTGCTCCCGAATCGTTCCGAATCGTGCTCCCGCTGCAGCGTGGGCCTCATTTTCGGATCGGTGTTTTGCTTCCGTCGTTCAGGATGGCGTTCTCGCCCCAGCGCGGGCCTCTTTCTCGCGCGCCCATCCGCCCGCCACCACCGCGCCGCACCACGCCCCGCCCCGCCGCACGCACACCCACCGCCACTTCCACCCACCAACGCACGCACGCACGCACGCGCACCACCACCGCGCACCGCCACCACACCGCACTACCCCACCCACCACCACCACGCTACACCGCGTCACACCACATCACACGCGCGCACACACAGACACACACGCACGCACGCACGCACGCACGCACACACACACACACACATACACACGCACACACACACACACACGCACACACAGACACACACACACACACACCACCACCGCCACCACCATCACCGCCATCACGCACGTACGCACCTGGCCCACCACCAAACCACCAAGACGCCACACCACGTCACACCACAGCACACGCGCACACACGCACACACACATACACACCACCACCACAACAACCACAACCACGCACACACGCACGCACGCACGCGCACCACCATCCGCTACGCACACGCGCGCGGAGCCACAGGTCCGCTACGACACGCGTCCGCGGATAGAGGAAATCAGCGCCATGGTAAGGGATGGGAGGGAGGGGTAGGATGTCACATGTTGACGCGAGCGCACCTAACTTGTAAATAACTCCTCCCTGTCGGACCCCGAGACGGGTCGGTAGGGCGGACCGGGCGTTTCGTCTGAGACTTCCTCACCGTTTATGATCCTGAAGCTTGAACTTTGCCATTGCTTCACGGATGGAGGATGGAGGGCAGGCCGTTTTCAAATTATGGCTCTCGTCTGAACGCCGCGCCCCTTCGTTTTAATCTGTTGCAAGAGTTTCACGGGAAGGAAGGCGGTCCTTTTTTTAAATGTGTTTATCGCTTTCGCGCCGCGCATATTCGTTTCATCGCTTTACGCCAGTTTCAAGGATTCTTCTGGTTATCGCCCCATGAGCTGGCACGACTTAAAATCTTCAGGGCGCGACTGTCACGTTGATTCGCGGTGCTGACGTCCCAGAGATGGTGTTCCGGCATGATTCTGGATCGTCAGGTCGCACGTAACGTTGATTCGTGCCGTCGAAGCCCCAGGCATGGTGCCTTGGTACGGGTGAAGACTTTCAGACGGTAGTCTTCCAACAAGGCTCTTCCCGAAGTGCAAATCGATCTTGATAGGAGCCTGTGAAGAGGGAGTTCGGGGGAGTGTTAATTGCAGAATCATTGATGAGGAATTGCAGTATCATTGCTGGGTCTTGGGTTTGCACTGGTCCTCCTCCTCCTCCCTCCCTCCCTCCTCTCTCGTCCTCCTTTCTCCCTCCTCCTCCATTATTCTCCTCCTCCTCCTTCCTTCCCCACCCCGTCCCTTCCTCCCACCCTCCCTCCTCGTATCTCCCCTACCTCCTCTTTCTTCGTCCGTCTCCTCCTCCGTTCCCCCTCCTCTTCCCTCTTTTGCCTCCTCCTCCTCCTCCTTTTCTTCCTCCCTCTCTCCTGTCTCCCCCATCCTCTTCCTCCTCCATCCTCCCTCCTCCTCCTCTCCTCCCCCTCCTCCTCCTCCTCCTCCCCTCCTCCTCCCCTCCATCCTCCTCTCTTCCTCCTCCCTCCCTCACTCTCTTCCGTCTATCTTTCTCCCTCCTCATCCTCCTCCTCCTCCCCTCCCCTCCCTCCCTCTTCCCTCCCCTCCTCCCTCCCTCATTATTTCTCTCCTCTTTCCTCTTTCCTCCTCCTCCTCCTCCTCCTCCTCCTCCTCCTCCTCCATCCTTCTCCTCCTCACACCTGCAGAAGGTGAGGAAGAAGGCAAGGAATACTGCAGGCATGATTTCTTCCCACATATTTTCACGGTGCTGATCACCCCATTCGAATGAACGCCGATCTCCTGGCTATAGCACTGGCCTCGAGCTCACAGCACCTCCAGAGCCCTTCCCTCCCTCCTTTTCTCTGCCCCCATCTGTAGCACCTGATTCGAGTCCTTGCGCGAACCTTCGAGTTCGGTGTTTCTTGCCCCTGCTGCTCTTGCTCCATCCTCCCCCAGATCGGTCGTCTTCGCCTCTCCGCCCGCATTGAAAGAATGGCGAGGCCCCCAACATGATACTGTGTCGTATGGGAGAAATCCCGGAGGTGCTTGCCCAAGGAGGGCTGTCCAGTGGGGTTGTCCGGATCCCCGCTGGGTTGTCCAAGGGGTGTCCGGGGTGGGTCGTCTTGTCGTCATGAAGCAGCCTGGGTTGCCCAGGTTGTCCTGGGGGTTGTCTGGGGATCTTTTTGATGGGCTTGTTTTCAAATTGAATGTCAAAGACTCCTTCAGCGAGCAGTCTGGCCAGTGGGCGCTGCAACTGTATGGGCGGGCCAGAGCTGCCTCGAGGCGGCGTGCCAACTTGATCTGGACCCGGCCGTCTGTCACACGCTCGACCTAGTTGCCTTCCCGCCCTGCTCGTCTGGCAGCGTGGTGACGCCCCAGCGGTACGAGGGAGTTCGGACGGGGCCAGGACGAGGACAAATCCGTTCCTGGGTGCTCCGGAACGCTCTCAGAGCGTTCTGGAATGCTCTTAAGAGGCAGCGGCGCCCGATGCATCCTCAAGAGCCGCTGGATCTCAGAGATTATCGATTTATCCTCACCCGAATTTATCTTCGTCCTGGTTTCGTCTTAGAGGTGGGTTTTGGGTCACATTCCCTGTCGACGAGGTTTACATCTCCCCTGGCCTCTGTAACGGTCTCAAGGGTGCCATCTTGGCGCGAGCATCGGGGGACACGCGCTTTCTCTATGCAGCTGACGCGGCATCCGATGACGCGACTGTGCAGGCTGCGAACCCTTTCTTCGACGGCCTTCCACTGTCGGATTTTGTCCTTGGGGTACGCATTTGAGCAGTGCCATTTGTGGCGTAATATTGGCCTCTTGGCGTACCGAGGTGTTGGCGACATCGGGTGCCGCGGATACCAGCTCAGGCCTCTGGGGTGCCTCGGGTCCTTCTTCCCCGCCTATCTTGAGGGTAGCTTCGGCGGGGCGGTTGGCCTGCAATTGGTCTTCGGAGGGGTTTGGCCAGGCAAATGACTGGAAGAGTTCGCTCTTGATCAGCCAGGCTGCTTGCAGCCAGGCTACTTGCCCACCCTGGTCCCCCAAGTCTGTCCTCCCAGCAGTGCAAGGGGTAAACTGCATCACAAAATATGGCATTGCGTTCTTCTCCTCCTCCTTGGAACGCAATGCGCCTGCTGCTGTTCATCCTCATCCTCTTTGAAGAACTTATGCGCGCAGATTTCCCACCATCGTCCTTCGTCCTCTTCCTGATCCTCTGCTGCTGCTCCTCCCCTTCCGCATCCAGAAGTCCTTTTCCTATTCCTCTTCCTGATCCTCTGCTGCTGCTCCTCCCCTTCCGCATCCAGAAGTCCTTTTCCTATTCCTCTTCCTCGTCTTCGTCCCCGTCCCCCTCCGCGTTCCCCAGGTCAAACCCTCCCCTCTCAGTCCTTGCGCTCGCAGCCGTTCTGGCGCAGGCCGGCGTGGCCCCGCGGGGTCGGGCCGCGGAAACTGGCGGCACAGGGTCAGGGTCGCGATGGCAGACCCGGAGGACGACAGGGAGTCGGTGGACGACGCGGATGACGGCCTGGCTGTTCAGGACTTGTCGAAGCTGGACATTGCCACGCTCACGCCCCTGTCGCCCGAGGTGATCAGCAGGCAGGCGACAATGAACGTCGGCACAATCGGGCACGTGGCGCACGGGAAGTCTACCGTGGTGCGAGCTCTGAGCGGATCCAACACAATCCGTTTCAAGCAGGAGAAAGAGCGGAACATCACGATCAAGCTGGGCTACGCCAACGCGAAGATCTACAAGAACGACCGCGAGGACCTAGAGCGCCCTGCAAACTACACCTCCTTTGGAAGCAAGACGCCCGATGTCGTTCCAGATGACGAAGGCGGCAATTGGAGGCTTCAGAGGCACGTGTCTTTCGTTGATTGCCCGGGACACGACATTCTCATGGCAACTATGCTCAACGGTGCTGCTGTGATGGATGCCGCGCTGCTTTTAATCGCGGGGAACGAGTCGTGCCCGCAGCCGCAGACATCAGAGCATTTGGCCGCAGTTGAGATCATGCGTTTGAAGCACATCATCATTCTTCAGAACAAGGTGGAGCTGATCAAAGAGCAGCAGGCGCAGGCTCAATATGAGGAGATCAAGAAATTCGTGGCGGGAACGGCCGCGGATAGCTCCCCTATCATCCCGCTCAGCGCTGTCCTGAAATATAACATCGAAGTTGTCTGCGAGTATCTGTGCACGCAGGTTCCCATTCCTCCCAGGGACTTCCTGTCCAGTCCGTACATGATCATCATCCGGTCCTTCGATGTGAACAAGCCTGGAGAGGAGGTAGAAAAGCTGAAGGGCGGTGTGTGCGGTGGTTCCATAATCAAGGGTGTGCTGAAGGTCGGCGACGAGATCGAGATCAGGCCTGGAACCACAGGCAAGGACGCCAATGGCAATACTACGTGCAAGCCGATCCGATCTCGGATTATATCCTTGGCAGCGGAGCAGAATTCGCTGCAGTTCGCAGTTCCGGGAGGCCTCATCGGCGTGGGGACCAAGATAGACCCCACCGAGACGCGCGGCGACCGCATGCTTGGTCACGTCATGGGACACCCTGGCAAGCTGCCCGACATCTACATCGAGATCGAAGTCAAGTACTACCTCCTCCGCCGCCTGCTCGGCGTTAAGACGGAAGGGGACTCCAAGGCGGGCAAGGTCTCCAAGCTGAAAAAGGGAGAGATCCTCATGGTGAACATTGGCTCCCTGGCTGCGGGCGGCAGGATCGTGAGCATCGGTGATGACGATGTGGGCAAGGTTTGGGGGGGGGTGCGCGGAAGGCAAAAGCAGGGAGTGGAGGGCAAAGGGGTGGTGGGACTGGAAAGGGGGGCTGGCAGGAGGGAGAGGGGTGCGGGGAAAGGGGGGGGTAGGGTGATGGAACACGTGGGGTAGGGAGGACGGGAAAGGGATGTTGGGGGAGGGAAGGGTGGGTGGAGTCAGAGGGGGGGCTTGCTGGGCAGATCGTGCTGACGAACGCCGTGTGCACTCAGGAGGGCGACAAGGTCGCGCTGAGCCGCAGGATCGAGAAGCACTGGCGGCTGATCGGGTGGGGCTCCATCGTGAAGGGCAAGACGCTCAAGCCCCTCGAGAGACTTGTCCCGGAGTGAGCCGCGAGCTGAGCGTAGGAGCGCACAGGGTGCGGGGGGGAGAGCCTTCTGTGGAGGGAAGGGGAGGGAGGGGGGGCAGGGAGGGGCGAAGCACAGAAGACTGCACGAGCCATAAACTTTCGGAGCGCCGCGGGGCTTTTCTGGATCAGTGCGGGGAGCCCCCCCCCCCGCGGTGGCGGCGCCTCCCGCGCCGCCCCCGTCGCGCTCCAGGAGGTCCGCGCAGAGCTCCGAAAGTTCATGTCTATGCTTCTTTTTGCTGTTCCTCTGGATGGGGAGAGAGATGGGGAGGTGGACGTGCTTGGCCCCCCCGCGGGGGCGCAGAAGCAGACGGGCGTCTCGCGGTCCGGGCCAGAGAGAGAGAGAGAGAGAGAGAGCGCGGCTCGAGGCCTGGTGACCTGGGAGAGGGGCGGGAGGGGAGGAGCACTTGGACCATGACCGAGACGTCGCGCGATCTTGTCGATGCCGATTCGCGAGGATGATCCACGAACCGACGCTGACCGAGATTGCCGGTGACCAAGATCGGCACGACGTTTCCGCGTTCAGTCTTGGTCATGGTCCCCGCTCTCTTGCCCTCCAGGGGGGAACTTCGGATGCAACTCCTGGGAGGTTGCACTCAGCACCGGCGCTGGGATATCCTTGCTCGAAAACCGGCCTAATCCAGCTTTATCCCGTTAAATCTGGTTTAATATTGGGCCTATTCTTGGCTAGTCTGGGTGCATGGCCCCTTCATCGGGCTTGATGGCCCTCAATCGCCTTTGCGAGGACCTCCCAGACGTTGCCTCCCAATAGAGCGCGATCGTCGTGGGCGAAGACACGTGTCCGCATCCGCGGCCTCGCGGGCCGGTCCCCTGGACCGCGACCCCGCGGATGCGGGGTGCTGTCTCGCGAGGTCGCGGAACCCATCTGCGCGACCGCGTATCCGCGGGACCGCGCCCCGGAGTCCAGACCGCGAGGGCGTGGATGTGGATACGTTCGCTGCTCGTGAGCGAGGCAGCGGGGGGTCGCCCTGTCGTCGGACGAGCGCCGCCGCCGGTGGACCGCCGGCCGGGCCGACAGCACTGGCGCGGCTGCACCACTGCCGCCGGCTGCCGGTCGCCAGCGTCCTCGCCCAAGAACCTCTATAGGACTCCCAGATGGGGCCCGAGCAGGTCGGGCCGGAGGATCGCGCCGCATCGCCGATGCATCGGCGATGCGGCTCGGTGTGGAGCCCGACCTTCTCCGCGCCGGCGTCGCCGATGCACGGGCGATGCGTCGCCGACGTATCGCCGATGCACGGGCGATGCACGGGCGATGCGTCGCGATTCTCCGATCCCATCTACTCGGACCCCATCTGGGAGGCCTCCAGCTGCGCTGCCAGCAGGCCGAGCCGGGTTTTCGTGCAGCCGCAGGGCCTCGTCCGCCGTGGGCTGCTGCTCCTCCCTCGGCCACACGGTCGGAGGGGGGCACTCCTGGGCACCCTCCGGGGGGAGGGGTGTCCAGGGGCGGCCCAGCCGACCCGTGCTTAGCAAACTACCGCCCTCCGTGATATCCCCCTCGCCTCGCCCCAGGGCGTATGCACGCAGCCGCGGGGGAGCTTGAAAGGCGAGGGTGACGTCACGGAGGGGGATGGCTTGCTGGGGGTCGCTCGGGCCGCGCCCGGTCGCACTTCCTCCTGTCCCTGGCTAATTAGTGGTCCTCCTTCTCCCCTGCTTCTGCCTCTCGATCTCCCTCCTGGCCCCGGGGCGCCCCCCCAGTGGGTCGATGCGGCACCGCGTCGGCCTGCGGCAGCCGGCTGCGCGGTCGTCCGCGCGTGAGCTGCCCGCGTGAGGCCGCGCGTGAGCGCCCTCGTGCGCCAGCGTGGCGTGCCGCGTCGGCGGCCCGCGTGAGCCGCGACGTGAGGCCGCCGTGCTCAGTGCAGCACGCTCGTGGGAGCCTCGACACGTCTTCGCAGCTGCGTCCTCCGGGTGCACCAGCGTCGATGTAGCGTCTGGCAGTCGATGGGGAAGCGCCGATGCGGCGTCGATTTAGCGTCGATTCCGCGTCGGTCCGCAGGAGCTCGATGTAGCTGTGATTGAGCGTCGATTGAGCGTTGGTGAGCGGCGATCTGGTGTTGATCTAGCGTCGACTCAGCGTTGACGAGCGTCGGTTTCGCGTCGATGAGCAAGACGACACGGGAGGCTCCCGCGAGTTGCCACCGAAGCCATGCCCTCCCGCGCGGGGCGCGTTTCCCCTCGTCGCTCGTGTGAGGCTCCGCCCTCGGCCCGCGCGGCTGTTGGAGGGCACTCCTGGGCACCCCCGAGGGGGGGGGCCTGGGCGGAGGGCGGAGGGCGGAGGGAGGAGGGAGGAGGGAGGAGGGAGGAGGAAGGAGGATGAGGAAGGAGGGAGGAGGGCGGAGGGAGGAGGGAGGAGGGAGGCGGCTGGTGGGGGTGGGGGTGGGGGGCAAGCCGTCGGCCCTCGGAGGCCCTGGGAGGCCCCCGCAGGGCCTCGGAGGCCCCTGGAGGCCTCCGGAGAAGAGCCGGCCCTGGTGCTCTGGGCGTCGCGGTCCTCGTGCCGCTCTTTGTGGGCTTTGCTCGCTCCGGGCGGTCAGAGGCGCCGTCTTCCGACCTCTGCATCGGCACGCAGCCTCACCAGGTACGAGCTCTGTTTCCCTCTCCGTGCGTCGAACGGTTCGGGGTGTTGGGATATGTTCAGGGATGTTGGGATATGTTCACAGTCGGCTTTGCCTCGGAGGCTCTAGTTCTTTCGGTGCAAGAGGGTCGATGGCCATACTGGCAGTCCCGCTGGGGCATGCGGGGGTCCACGGGTTCTCACGGCATGGGAAATCCAGCTACCCGTGGCAAACCCCGCCATGACGCGAGCGCAGCAGCGCACCAGGAAGGAGGCTGAGTTTAATACCAGCTCCAGTTCGGTGCCCTGCCTGAGCTGAATGGAATCTTGACGCCCCCTCCATGCTCACAGCCTCGTTCTTCACTTCTTCTTTCATGTTGGTGGCTTCCAGGGGGCCTCTCCGCAGCCTCTTCGTAGCCTTCTGGGGGCCTCTGGGTGACCCGTTGGGGGCACGTCTCGGATCCTCGTGGACGTCTTGAGAGCGATGGTCATGTCGAGCTCGCCTTCATAGTCTCGTTTGGAACGTCTTGGAGACCCCTTGGGGCCGTCGTACGTCTGGATGGGCTTCTGCGCCGTATTGGTGTTCTCTTGAGGCCGTCTTGGGCCGCCTTGGGGGGTTCTCGAGCCATCCTGGGCCCGTCTTGGGGCTCTCTTGGGCCGTCTTGGGGTCTTTTTGAAGCTTGATGCTCATAAAGGGTTCCCTGGGCGATCGTGGGCGGAACCGCATCGGAATCAAAACAGAAATGATTTCCGGTATATTGCGAAGGCCTGACGGCCGGTGCCGCCGACCCTGTTCGCAATGCGCAGCAAGAGGCACGGGCTGTGGGATGGTTTGGGGGAACGGGGAGAAGGACGACAAGGTGGGGGAGGGAGGTGTCGTATCTGACCCGGGACTTCCCCGGGACTCCCCCGGGACCCCCCCCGGGACCTCCTCCCCCCCCCGTCGGGGAAGGGAAAGGGAAGGGGCTTCCCTTCGACTCAGTGACGACGTTGCTCAAGGTCGGCACGGGGGGGGGGGCGTCGTATCTGACTCGGGGGGGGGGGCTCGCTACCCCCCCCCGCTAACCCCGCCCCCCCCCCCACCCCCGCCGGGGGAGGGATGAAAGGGAAGGGGCTTCCCCTTCGACTCAATTACGAGGTTGCTGAGGTCGGCTTGTGGCCTGGAGCCCAGGGGAAGAGGAGTCCCTGGGGGGCGTCGTATCCTGACCCGGGGGGGGGGGTCGCTACCCCCCCCCCTCCCGGCGGGGGAGGGATCAAAGGTAAGGGGCTTCCCGTCGACTCAATTACGAGGTTGCTCAAGGTCGGCTTGGCTGGAGCCCAGGGGAAGAGGAGTCCCAGGGGGGGGGGCGTCGTATCTGACCCGGGGGGGGGTCGCTACCCCCCCCCCCCTCCCGGAGGGGAGAGGTGATGAAAGGGAAGGGGCTTCCCTTCGACTCAATTACGTGGTTGCTCAAGGTCGGCTTGGCTGGAGCCCACGGGAAGAGGAGTCCCAGGGGGGGGCGTCGTATCTGACCCGGGGGGGGGGTCGCTACCCCCCCCCCCCTTCCCAGCGGGGGAGGGATCAAAGGGAAGGGGCTTCCCTTCGACTCAATTACGAGGTTGCTCAAGGTCGGCTTGGCTGGAGCCCAGGGGAAGAGGTCTCCCAGGGGGGGGCGTCGTATCTGACCCTTGGGAGGTGGGGTCGCTACCCCCCCCCCCCTCCGGCGGGGGAGGGTGAAAGGAAGGGGCTTCCCTTTCGACTCAATTACGAGGTTGCATCAAGGTCGGCTTGGCTGGAGCCCAGGGAAGAGGAGTCCCAGGGGGGGGCGTCGTATCTGACCCGGGGGGGGGGGTCGCTACCCCCCCCCCCTCCCGGCGGGGGAGGGATCAAAGGGAAGGGGCTTTCCTTCGACTCAAGTACGAGGTTGCTCAAGGTCGGCTTGGCTGGAGCCCAGGGGAAGAGGTCTCCCAGGGAAAGGGAAGGACAGAGACGATGAGTACAAAGAATGACGGAGATGACGGCTCGAACGGAAAAGCCCCTCACACACGCCGACAGGGTCGGCGGATTGGTTCTAGGGTGACAACAAAATATGCATTTGAGACCCCCGATCACGGAGATAATGGGACCATTGTTCGATAGCGAAAAGGATTCAAAATGGGCAAGAATCTGGGTCACGTGTGTACGATTCAATTTTAGAACCTAGGCCCAGGACACCAGGGGTTAGGTATCCCGTCGCTGGCAAGGGCTTGAAAGGCTATTCTTGATTGGATTCTACGGGGGGAGGGGGGGGGAGTCCATGGCCCCTTCAAATTTCAGATGAACTTGTGTGCCGCCGCTTCATTTGGTTTTTCTAATGCGAGAAGGGGTGCGGGAGGCATCGGGATCTGCGACGTCGGCCTGGAATCCAGCCTTGTCCTGGGGCCCCGCGGCCGAACGGGATCCCAGTCATTTGTTTTTCGATTCCAACGGTCAGCAGTTTTGATGCCGGCGGGTTGACCGCCTCCAGAGCACGGCTTCGTGGTTTTTTCCAACGCTTCTGGTGCTGCACATGAGCGCGCATAATCTGCTGCTACGACTGCGGTGAGTTCGCGGCGTCAGATCGCATATTTTTGCAGTGACCGCCGCCAGCGCACGAAACGACGCCATTTGTGAACGTTGCACATGCTCCACATTCGCGCGCGCACCCTTCGTCGTTCGACCGCAGTAAATCTACCGCGTCGGAGCGAGGGTTTTTTGTTTTCGCCATTGCCAGTGAACAGAGTCAGGCCGCTTTCAAATTTTGCCCGTGCTCTGCATTAGCGCGCGCATCTTTTGTTCTTGCGACTGCGTTGAATCTACGGCGTCGGAGCGGCCGTTCTCTGTTGGCAAATGCCCCCGCCATTACCAGTGAACGGAGTGATGCCGCTATCAAATTTTGCCCATGCGCCGCGCGATCGCGTGCATTTTCGGTTCTTGCGACTGCGGAGTTTATCGCGTCGGAGCGAGCGTGTTGTGCAAACGCCTTTTGGTTTCAAAGAAGGCGGCAATCGGTGATCCAGGAGGGCGCGCGAGGAAAACGATTGGAATTCTCTGGCGGCGAAGTCCCGCGTGGAATCGCCATTCGCAGGTGGCATGAGAAGCAGCCGGAGATTTTCCTCGAGGGGTTCTCGAGCGCAATCGCAATTTACTGGCGGCGTGGCGAAGGGCGATCAGCAGCTTTCTGTCAGAGAGTATTGGGCGGCGTGCCACTTCCTGATGCGGGCCCCATCTGGGCTTGCCTAAGATGAAAACATCGGAAACTCCGACGTCGGCGTTGGAACCAACGCTGCCCCAGGGGCCCGCGGCCGAACGGGGGCCAGTCATGCGCTCCTCGATCCCGGCGGCCAGCACTTTTGATGCCGGCGGCTTAGCCGCCGCCGGCGCGCGGATCATGGCATGATGCAGCGTTGCCCATGTTCCGCGTAGGCGCGCGTGTCTTCTGTCTCGTGACTGCGGCGAATATGCCGCGTCGGAGCGACGACGCCGCGGGCGCGTGGACTCGCGGCCTTTTTCAGCGTTGCCCGTGCTCCACGCTGGCGCGCGTATCTCTCGTCCAACGACTGCGGTGGAGTCGCCGCGTCGGATCGAGTGTCTCTTGGCAGTGGCCTCCAACGGCGCGCGAAACCGTGCAAGTTTCAAAAGTTGACCATGCTCCACATTTGCGCGCGCGCCCTTTTCCTTGCGACTTGCGCTTAATTTGTCGTGTCAGATAAAGGGTTTCTGCAGTGGCCGCCGCCGGCGCGCGGAATCGCGCGCCTCTCGCGCGTTGCCCCTTCTCCGCGTTGGCGCGCGCGTCCTCCGTCTTGCGACTACCGTGAAGTCGCCGCGTCGGAGCGAACGTTTTTGGCGGCCGTCGCCGCCAGCGCGCAGACTCGCGTCATTTTCCAACGTCCACATGCGTCGCATTAGCCCGCGCATCCGTCGTCCTCGCGACGGCGGCGAATTTAGCATGTCGGAGCGAGCGTTTTCCGCTGCCGCCGACGCCGGCGCGCGGGGCCTTGCCGCGTCCAAATGTTGTCCATGCTCCACATCAGCGCGCGCGTCGTTTGTCTT